GGGAGCAGGACCGCCCCTTGGCGCTGGCTCTACGCGGGAACCCGACCGCCCGGAGCGGTAAAATTGAAGATTTATGCGAGACGCCGTTTACGTCGATTAACGCTATGCCGTACTGCCCGCCCGTAACTTATTTAAGGTCTGCGCGATCGCGCGTTTTTTTTTCGCGCGGGAGAGCCCAAGTTGCGTTAACTGCGATTCACTTCGGCATTCGCGCCGGAGCGGTAAAATCGAACGAGATCGAGATGTTCGATATATGACGTGGCGTTCGATATATAACGAAATTCATTCGAGATCTACTTCAAATAATAACTATGTAGCGGCGTTGAACGTAATCGCGCTGTTTTATACTTGTATCTGAAATACGACGAATACGTTCGAATGCGAATATCTTAAGATTGGAATGCTACGTTATTCCAATGACGTTATTCGATTTTCAATCGGAAAGATATCCAAACGTAACGTCTTACCCCGGGTGACGATGGCCTCGTCAGCGCTCCTGAACGAGTCTCGAGGAGGACGATAGCAACGGGAGAATCGGCGGTGCGACGAGGAAGATCCCGATCGTGTAAGCTCGCGACGGAATCGCCGTTGGTAGACGTACTGGGTGGGCAGGGGTCGGCAGGGGCGAGCCGCGTATGAAAGAGGGAGACGGGACGCGCCGTTTCTCTTTTCCCGAAGGCTCGAGCGCGACAAGGACGCGCCGACGAAACGATACGAGCGCCACCGAACTCGTTCGAGATGCGCCGGACAGCGATCGTAGGAGGAAGACGGGAGCTTGCGGAGGCTGCGGAGAAGAGAGGAAAGCTCTGCCGCGTCGGTGGGGTAGCGCAACGCAGACGGAAACGGCGGAGACGGCGGAGGGAGCGCGAAAGAGAAAGGGAGAAAGAGAATGCCTCCCGCTGCCAAGCTGACCACCGACCCTCTACGAAGGTATATACGAAGGAAGAGAGACAGACGCGGTGAGGACAGGTGCGAGAGAGCGACCGCGTTTTATCACACTGACGGGACTCGCTGCGTACGTGTGAGCCATGCGGATACCACGAGGTGTAACATCGGTATTTCCGAGGCGACGGTGTGCGTTCGGTACACGCGTACGTATACTCACGTATCGGTGAGATATCTCGAACGCTCACCTTCGACCCGAGGGTTTCGTATAAAAGTTAGAGACTCAAAATTTGCAGGAACAAAACTCCTTAAAAAAGCTCTCGCCCTCTCGTCCCTCAGTCATACAAAAGATCGAGCTCGAGGATCGAGTATCTTCTTTTCGAAAAAGGAACATATATATAACTTATCGTACCGGATCGACTCGAGGAACGCTCGATGTTACATCGATCAAGATTCTTTTTTTTTTCTTTTCTCTCAACTGCAACGCGTACGTTACGGAGCATCGCGAGGCTCTCGTGTAATTAAGCGTGAATAAACAAGGCGAACGGACCTATAATTTAGTCGGTCAGGACGGAAGAGGTGCGAGCGAGACGGCGAGCGTGCTCGGTCATGCGCGATCGCCGGCAAAAGAGAGGCTCCGGTACCCTTTCGATACGCGAAACGAGGACACGCGCAATCTCGCCGTCTCTGTATTGCGCGCGTACGGGGCGCCTGTGTCTGTGGTGGTGAGAAGCGCCGGCGGCAGGGTTGTAGTAGTACGCCGAAGAAAAATCGCCGCGAGTCTGTAGACGCCTGTACGTGCGTACTAAGGGGTTGAGAACGGCATGTGGTAGTGAAAGGGTTGCTGGACAGTGGCGAGCTCCTGCTTAGGCGGTCGCCGGCGGAACTAACGAGGAAAGGGGTTGGAATCTATCACCTTTGCTCTAATGATCGCACCCTGCGCTCTAGTCCTTTCGTATTTGCTACGCCAGCTCGATGTAATTGGAATTGGTTACTTTTGACAAATTTTGTATGATTTTCATACAATATTTCTTGACTTGTAGATGAAAGTTAATCGTTATGTTAAATGAAATATTTAAATAATCAACACTATTTTATATAATGTTAAAGCATAATCATCCACCGAGTATAATTATTCGTCAAACGTAAATAATGAAAAGTTTGGAATAATATCTCTAATTAAGAGCCAAAAGCTTTTTCTTGTATTTCCTCGCATGTTACGATGCATATCAAATATCAAAATTAACGTCAAAAATGAAAAGCCCATGAAAACGCGAGAGGACATAACGGTTTTCTGACAATATTTAATTTTATTTTTTTGTTTACTACATAGCCGGAACTACAATCGTTTAAGCTAAAATTATTGACTACAAACGACATATTTTCCTCAAAGGTTCAACATACTAAAAGCGATTTTCCAGTAACAGAGAGGTATTTTCATCGATAGCACGATATGACTATATGCGAATAAACGGGCCAAACTACGAAACAGTGTGCTCGGTTCAGACCTGCGTCTCAGTGTTATACCACTTTTTACACTCTCCCTCCTCCGCCCCGTTTAACTCCAACCCCGAAAAGCTCACTTACCCAATCATACCCCAATCTACCGCTGGCTCAGCGGCGGCGTGCAAAACTCTCGATCAACCGCCAGTATTTTTATCTCCGCAGTTTTTAAGGTCACTTGTTGCTTCTTACTATGCTAGTGCTGCGAGAAGAAACTCACCCTCTTTACGAAGACCACGTCTACTTTTTCTCTCAGCGCAACGTTAATAATTGCAGCAGCAAGCGCGGAAAAGTGATATCGTAGCAATTATATCTTACGTGTCTTTAGTCTGAGTGAAATTACGAGCTAAGAGCAATTATTTAAATCTAATATGAGAACGATTATTAGTACATAATACGAAGTAAAATCTTTTTTTTTTTATTACAGATATTTTCATAAGCCAATTTTGTTAAAATTTACTACTTTAGTGATTGCTAAAAATATACGAGAAATACGATTGCGATGAAATTTTTAATTCAGATTGGAATCGATGAATAGTTCTTTATCGTCTTATTCCGTCAATCCTACAATAATACTTCCTCTAATGCTATGGAATTATTTGTTGCATCCCAATGCGCTTTACGCACAATTAAAACAACGAATCTCTACGGAAAAGTCGGAATGCATTAACAGGCTTTTCCGCATTCAGTATTTAGCGTGTATTAACGAGGAAATCGAGCTGGGCAGCGCTTGCTCGTTAACCTGCTGTAATAATCGCGTCTATATTTGACAAAAGAAGAGAATAAGTAGAGAATGGACCGGTTACAATCAGAACAGCCTCGTCCACTTTTAATCCACGATACATTTCTCCACGACGTACCTTGCCGCTACTTTCTCTCCCTCTCTCTCTCTCTCCCTCCCTTTTCTTATTTTTCTCAATATAATCATAGTGTTTGCATTCTAGTTGCACGCAATTACTCGAGCTTCCTTGGCGCGGCGATGCGCACCCCTCACCCAGTTTCACCCCTTCGCGCCTCTGTTGCAGCTGCGCACGATATCCGATCAGTGTGGCCGGTATTTTTATTCGTAGATTTTAAGGTCACTTGTTGCTTGTTTAGTTATGTCGGGGTACACACGCGCCGTCAACACACCAGCGCATGGATCGGCTGGAACGCGCGAACTGAGAGAGAAAGAGAGCGAGAGAGAGACAGAGAGAGAAAGAGAGAACGCGTAAATGTGTGTGCTCAGCGGGGGCGTTCGCTCTGGTGTATCGTAATGCACGTGGACAAAGCAATCCGCTGACATGTGTTGAGGATGCTACATGCAAGCGCTGGATTGTGTACGTGGCATCGGACCGATAGGTGGACGCCCTGTCGATTTCATTTCCCCCATCGGACCGCCGGATGGCAAGGGGGTGCGCCGGCGGGGTTGAGCGTTCCACTATTTTTTTCTGGCTTTTTGCCCCTTTTTTCCGGGGCGTCCGGATTTCGCGTTGCGGTTTTTTTGCACAGCTTTCGCTACTCGCGCGTGGTGCTCCTACTCTTGCATCCTCTCTCTCTCTCTCTCTCCCTCGCTCTCTCTCTCTCTCTCTCTCTCTCTCTCTCTCTCTCTCTCATTTTTCTACGCGCATTTTGCTTCTCTCTCTCTCTCAGTCGATCTCTAACTCTCTTTCTCTTTCTATCACTCGCTACGTCTATCGAAATGTCTCAGTCTCTCTTACTGCTTCTTTTCGCACTAGGTTTCTCTCTTTCTCATTGCCTAACTCTCTT